CTACAGTGATATGGTATTTCTCCACACCCTTCCTCCTCCAATCCTCCAAAACTCCCCAAAACAGTAGTAACACATTGTTACACCCCATAAGTTTAACAACCTTGATGTCGTTATATATATATATATATATATATATATATATATTTGATATGGTATTTTGAGTGGAACATTTTTTGTAAAGAAAAAAATGCTTTAAAAAAATAAAATAATTTTATATAGTTATTAATATTACTACTTTCGAATATGTTATAAATTATACTCATAATATAAGAAATTTTATGAGATTTTTTTATCGTAAAGATAGAAATTATTTTCTCGCAAGAAAAATAAGGTTATTCTTTTTACCATTTTAAGAATTAAGCGTACAAAATTTGTACTCTTTATATGAGATTAGGAAAATTATAAGTTGAGAAAATATATGTATTTTTTTACATGAATATTTTTAATAAAATAATAGTATGTATTTATTTTATATGGTACTACATGACCATGATAGTAAGTTATATAAAGTGTGTTAAAAATGAGTGGTATTTTAATTAATTCGAGATAATTCTTAATTATGCGGGTAATTGGTAATTACTTAAAAAATAAAAATCTAGGATAAGACCACTACGTGGCAGATTTTGCAAAGCAAAAATTTGTGACTCATGCCGATCAATGGTGGGATATTCAATTTGTGATGGAGGGTCACTATCTGATGATACATAAACTTTTGTAGGTAGATAGCAGAAATGTAAACGGTTAATCAAATTTGATGTACTAGCAAATGTAGAGGATTCGTGTGCCTTGCCAAGATGAGGGTGAATACTATATAAAGATCTCCATTAATATTATTTCCTTCCTCCAGGTATGTTTAGGTTATCCCTTCTTTCTTTTGGCATGTTCTATATTATACAGACGAAACGAGCAAGTGCACAACTTCCTAAATGACTCTATTCATCGAAATAATAGAGCTGCTTATGTTATTGAATTTTCATGTGTCCTATTATTTTATCATCTGTTCGTGGATTTCAAAAAAATACGTAAGTTTAAAAAGTTTAATTCAGTATATTATTCAAAGACATAATGGTCTTATAACATTCTGAAAGATTTTATTAATGTACTTTACATGCATTGCATTCGTGTACGTTGACCCATGGCCAGATGGCGTTATATACGTGTATATATGTATATTATATGTATATGGGATATGGAAAAAGATTACGGCATTATATACGCACCACCACCTGATCAGCTGGTATACATTGATGATTTGTCATTTCATAATTTACAGAGTTATCCAAACTTGTAGGTTGAGTCCTTTACTCCATGTTTCTTCCATTCTCTTTACATATTTATTTACATATCTTACATACTCAGTACATTATTCATACTGACGTCCTTTTGTTGGGACACTGCATTCATGCCTGTAGGTATAGATAATAAATTTGACAAGCCCTCATAGTAGACGAGATTGGCATTCAGCGAAGGATCGGTAAGACTCCACCTCA